TCTAAAGCAAACATTCATTCACCTTACATTAACTTTTTCATGTTTGTCCGTCTTTCCAAAATGAAATGTGAGGTCCTTAAGGGCAGGAACTATTTAGGCCAAGGTACTGCCCTCAGGACATCAGCAGAGAACCTTTTTTGTATGTATAAAGTATTCTGTCATACTTAATTGTGTTAGACCTTAAGAAAGAAAGAGCTCTTATCCTTTGAGACGACATGGAGGGACCTGGAAAGTATTATCCTAAGCGAAACAAGCCAAACAGAGAACAAGTACCATATGATCTCACTTATTTGTGGAATATAATGAACATAACAGTGTGAAGAACAGGGTAGTCCCAGAGACGCGGAAGTAGGGTACAGACTGACAATCGCCAGAAGAGGGGGTAAGCGGGGGAGAAATAAACCACAGAACTTATATGTATGTATGCATGACCAATGGACATGGACAACAAAGCTAGGGACAGGGCGGGAAGGGGGGGATGTCAATGGGGGAAAAAGGAAAAATATCTGTAACAAAAATGAATTAATTAATTTAATTTAATTTAAAATAAATAAATAAGTAAATAAAAACCAGGCATCATAGCCCTGGCCGGTTTGGCTCGGCAGTTAGAGTGTTGGCCTGCAGACCAATGAGCCGCGGTTTCGATTCTGGTCAAGGGCATGTACCTCGGTTGCAGTTCGACCCCAGCCCCGGTCTGGGTCATGCTAGAGGCAACCAATCAGTGTGGTGTGTCTCTCTCACATCGATGTTTTGTTTTTGTTTTTTTTCTCACTCTCTCCTCTCCCACTCTATCTGAAAATAAATTTTAAAATGTCCTCAGGTAAGGATTGAGGAAAAAAAAAAATCAGATAGATTTTTCAAACTAAGGCTTAAGAAAAACACCTAAAATTTTTCTTATTATCCCTTTTCATGAGCACTTTGCTGTGAGGACTTCGGGTAGTAAAAATAAAATATGGAAGTTGTGCAAAGTTAGACTGCTTTCTCACTCTTAAAGGTAAATAAGTGAATGACTTAAAAGACCCTAAGAGCTAAGTATGTTGACGGATACTGGACTTCTTGTGGTGATCACTGTAAAGCATATAAATGTCAAATCACTATGCTGTGCACCAGAAACTAATATACAGGGTGGGGCAAACGTAGGCTTACAGTTGTTTGTATGAAAAATAATACAATAATACAAGAATCAACTGTTTTGCGTACTCACAACTGTAAACATGCCTTTGCCACATCCTATAACATTGTATGATAACAATAATTTTAAAAGAATTTTACATTGGGGGGGCTAGAGGAACTAAGGCAACAATATTCAACAAAGTTATCACATGTCACTCATGACACACATGGTGGACAAATTCCAGACTCCCTCTCTGTGGTAAGAGAGACCTGGGGGTTCTCATCTCCACTGGAAAAAAACAAGGCAACTGCTCTTCTCAGCTCTGAAATATGGCACAAAGCACACGTGGGCACAAATAGGCAAGCAAGACTAAGCAACATCTAGAGTAACAAGAAGAAAATTCTGAGATGTTCTAAATTAAAATTACAGAGGCCAGAGAGAGAAAGAGACGAACGAAACAATTAGCCATTTAATAGCTGTGGACCAAGTCTGACAAAAGACTGCTCACATTCCTTCCATTCCGTTGGATCTTCCCATTAATTTCCAGGTGGCTATTTCCGCAGATTACCCTAGCCAGGCACCACAGAACTCCAGGGAGCCTTTCCTTCTTTACACGTGGGCTTTCTAAAATGCTGCCCACAGCCAATCCACAGGAGGGGACATTTCTTTTTGTGGACTCTGTGTCTATCCCAGAGCTGGCCCCACTTCACCTTCCCCCACCTCCTTGCCTATAGCTAATGTGAATTCTTTCACTGGGCTTACATTTTTCTTCATGTATAAAAATGCTTGCTGCCCTGGCTGGTTTGGCTCAGCAGTTAGAGCATCAGCCCACAGACCAAAGGATCTCAGGTTCTGTTCCAGTCAAGGGCACATACCTGGGTTACAGGTTTACCCCAGGCTCCAGTCGGGGTCATTAGGGAGGCAAAACCAATCGATGTGTCTCTCTTACATGGATGTTTCTCTTCCCTCAACCCCCTTCCTTCCAGTCTAAAAGATCAATGGAAAAATATTCTCCAGTGAGGATTAACAAAATCAATTATTTAATTAATTAAAAATGCTTGGAAACTCAGAGATGATGGACATGTTATCTTTCCTGCTAAGCTGGTGATTTAAACTTCTTTTTGGCCACCAATGGCCTAATAAACCCTTTCTTTTAAAAAAGACTTTCAGGCCCTGGCCGGTTTGGCTCAGCGGTTAAAGCGTTGGCCTGCGGTCCAGAGAGACCCGGGTTCGGTTCCCGCTAAGGGCATGTACCTCGGTTGCAGTTTGTCCCCGGCCCTGGTCGGTCGTGTGGGTGGCAGCCACTCGATGTTTCCCTTTCACATCGATGTTTTTCTCTCTCTGTCTCTCTCCCTCCTGCTCTATCTGAACAAAGAATGAAAAAGTGTCCTCGGGTGAGGATAAAAAATAAATAAAAATAAAAAAATAAAAATAAATAAAATAAAAAATAAAAAAGACTTTCAGGCCCTGGCCGGTTTTCTCAGTGGTTAGTGTCAGCCTGCGGTCCGGAGAGACCCGGGTTCGGTTTCCGCTAGGGGCGCGTGCCTCAGTTGCAGTTTGTCCCCGGCCCTGGTTGGGTCGTGTGGGTGGCGGCCACTCGATGTGTCCCTTTCATGTCGATGTTTCTCTCTCTCTCCCTCCCACTCTATCTGAACAAAATATCGAAAAATGTCCTCAAGTGAGGATAAAAAAAAAAAAAAAAAGACTTTCAACTGTGTAAGTAAAAATTGTTTGTCCTGGGCCCTGGTCAGTTTGGTTCAGCGGTTAGAGCGTCAGCCCATGGTCCAGGGTTCGGTTCCTGCTAAAGGCATGTACCTCGGTTGTAGTTTGTCCCCGACCCTAGTTGGGTCCTGCAGGAGGCGAACAATCGATGTGTTTCTTTCTGTCTCTCTCTCTCTCTCTCTCCCACCCTCCCTCCCTCCCACTCTATCTAAAAAGTTGTGGGAAAGTATCCTCAGGTGAGGAATTAAAAAAAAAATTGTTTGCTTCAGCCCAGCCAGTGTGGTTCAATGGATTGAGTGAGAGGTCCCAGTTCAATTCCCAGTCAGGGCACATGCCCAGGTTTCGGGCTCGATCTCCAATAGAGGGCGTACAGGAGGCAGCCAATCAATGTATCTCTCTCACATGGATGTTCCTCTCTCTCTCTCCCATCCTCTCTCTCTAAAAAAATACATACATATATATGTGTGTGTATATATTTTAAAAATTGGTTTTTTTCATAACATGAAACTATGAAGTTGAAGTTGAGGCAAACAGAAAATAAAGAAAATACCATAAAGCCTGAAAAAGCACAACTTTTAGATGATGAAGTTAAAATACCTTTTAGGCCATGGGTGGTGTTGCTCAGCGGTTAGAGCATTGACCCCTGGCCATGGTCAGAGTTGTCCAGGAAGCAACAAGTCCATGTGTCCCTCTCACGTCAGTGTTTCTCTCTGTCTCCCCCCACCCCACCCCCCCATCTGTAGATAAATAGAAAAATATCCTCCGGTGAGGTTTAAAAATAAAATACCCTTTAGGTACTTATTCAGGGGACTCCATTTGTGTTTCTAAGAAGGCATACAGACATGCACACTTCAACAGGCTTTCTCATAGATTGTATCTGACACACCACATAAAGTTAAGTTGCAATGTAGCCACCTTATCTTAAGATTGAACCTTTATACTTCTAAGCAGAACAATTATAACTAATTCTAAAGATGGCTGGCCAAAGGATTAACATTCTCCTGGGTGGGTCTCCCTGCAGTAGCCATAACCCAACCCAAAACAGCTTCAGGGTTTCCCTAGCACGCTGCAGAAGCGCTTTCTTCACAACCATAGCACTACCTGTCTAGGGACTAACAGATGAGTCTTGCAGGAACTGGTGAAAACCAATTTATGCCAGAGGATGCAGTCCCCAGCATTCTGTCCTGGACATTTTTCATTGATGAGACAGAATAGGGGAGGGGGGCTGGTAAAGGAGACCTGCTGAAGGTTCTACCTACATGACAACCAAAATAACCAAGTTGAAACTTGGTTTGTCCTGCCTTCTTCCAAAGCCATCTCCTTCAATAGTGGTAAGGAGGACCGCAGTCTGCAAGTCATTAGTACACTGCTGTTTTCACTTTCACAAGAACCCTGGAAACCAACCAGTAACAAAACCCCCTCCGCCCCAGTTACCTTCCAACCCTTCCTTTCCGAGAGACAACGGAAAAGGGACTGTCCTTATCAATTCGCTATTTTGATTCACAGAAGATGGGGGGGGGGCTGTCTGGTGAAAAGTGGAAAAGGAAATAGAGGAAGGTGAGAACAGCAGCACAAGGGGTGGGGGCCGGTCATCCTGACAGGGAGCCAAGGTGAAGAGCGAAAGAAAACCGAGGGGAGCCCTGGCGAGTAGCTCGGCTGGTCAGGGCATCCTCGGGCTAGCCAAGGTTGCGGAGCTAGCCAAGGTTGCGAATTCGATCCCCGGTCAGAGCACATACGAGAATCAACCAATGAATGCACAAATAAGTGGAACAACAAACCGATGTTCCTCTCGCTCTCTTAAAAAAAAATCAAATAATAAAAAAATATTTAAAAGAAAAGAAAATTCAGGAGAGAGGTGTCAGGGGAAAACCTGCTAAAGAAAAAAAGATGGGGGAGGGGGCAGGTAAGGTGAGGAGAGGGAATAAGGGGCAGGTTGGAGGGGGCTGGGGAAGCCTGGGAGGAGTAAGGAACCAGGGCCGGACGCCTGGGGTCTGGGGTCTGGGGCCTGGGGCCTGGGGCCAGCGAACAGCGGACAGGGGACAGGGGACAGTGGGCAGCAGTATTTGGGAGACCGACTTCAGGAGAGTGCGGGAAGCTTGAAACCCATTCCGGGATTTCGGGGCGAGAAGTCCACGCCCGAGTGCAGGGGGCACGGGGCTCTTACCGGCAGTTTGGGGCTGACCTCGCCCTTGCAAAAGTGGCAGAAAAACCGGTGCGCGGCGACGGCGGCGCCAGAGCCCGTCCCGGCCGCCGAGGCCTCCGCCATTTTTCTCTTGCGCCGCGGCGGTCGGAGAGGGCAGCCGCCGGTCCCTCGCCAGGCCGCTACCTTCCAGCGACAGCCGCCGCCTCTGCTGCCGCCGCTGCTTCCTCAATGCGGCCCGCCGCTCCGGAGCCCGCGTCAGTCACGTGAGTCGGCCTGGCCCAAAGAGGCGGTGGCGCCGACCGCGACCCCAAGGCCCGCCTCCAGCATCAGAGAGGAACAGGAAGGAGAGTCCGCCTGCAGCTCCTCCAACAGCCCTTCACCGGTCCTCCAACCTCCCAGCGAGACGAAAGAAAGAAAGAGCGTCTCCGAAAACCACCGAAACTCTGGGGTAGAGCGGCCTGCGTATTTCCCTTTTCCGGGTCCTCCTCGTTGTCCGTCTTGCGAGAAAGGACCAAGGGCTCCCCCTCTGCCCGGGCGGGTACCGGGAGCCGCGCGGAGCCGCCGAGCGGAACTTGACGGCGTTAGATTGCTGTGACCCCGAGGTTAGTGGAAAGCGCCGTCTGAACGGGGTGGCCCGGTCTCTGAATCGGGGGGCCCAGTCCCGAACTGGGAACCCACGCATAGGGAATAAAGAGCCAGGACCGAGCTCCTTGGAAGTCCTTTTCGAGGAGGGGGTTGCTTCCCTAAAGACGTGTGGATTGGGGGAGCTGGGAGGCAAAGACTTTGCTTCTGAGGAATTGGGAGAAATAAATGAACAAACCAATGTTTACTAACACTTGTGATTTATTTTTTAAAAGAAGCAATTAAATAGTCAACTAAGTCTGTTTCTGTTTACTTTGTCAAGAAGTAGAAATTTCGGAATGAATTACTGCCCTGCAAAGTACCTCATCTCCTGTTTGAAACACCCTGTTGTGAAGCTTTCCCCACCTCTTCGTTTGTTTTTCTAAATTGCCATTTCCTTCGTGGACTGGGAATGACACTGCCTGTTCACTTCCAATAGGCTATGATGTGGCCTTAATTCTTCCAAACAATGAAATGTAGAATCCAAGGTCTGTGGCATTGCAAAACAATCTACACCCACTTTTTAAAATATTTTTTAATTGATTTGAGAGAGAGAGGAAGGGAGGAGAGACAGAAACATCGATCAGACAGAACATCAATTGGCCACCTCCTGCAACACCCTCTGCCCAGGGATGGAGCCTGCAACCTGGGCATGTGCCCTGACCATACCAGTGACCTCTTGGTGCATGGGTCACTGCTCAACCACTGAGCCACACTGGCCAGGCACACACCCAATCTTGAAAGAAAATTAGAATCACACACAATCCCATAAAGATAAATGTAGTGTATGGTTCAGTCTTTTCTTTTTTCTATTCATACATTTTTATCTTAAATTTTCCTCTACATTTTGCTTTGTAGCCTTCTTCTTATAATTAATGAACAAAAAGTAATTCTATGCTAATTAGTAATTCTATGCTAATACATATTATACAAAAGTGTTGGAGAGGCATAATTCATTGAGTTAATTCCTTATTGCTAGACATTAGGTGGTTTCTAGTATGTTAGTAGTCTAAAGAGAACCACAGTAACATCTTTTTATTTTTTCCTTAGAACATAGTATCCAAAATGAAGTATTAAGTTGAATATAGGCAAGATTTTAAGGCTTTTGACATATAATGTCAAATCACCTTCCACAAAGTACATGAATTCAGCAGCTCTACACCCAACTTAAAAGAAAAACTTTTCAGCCTACAGTGTTTTGTTTTTATTCTAGCTCTGAAGCTCAGTACAATGACTCAAGCAGAAATTAAACTGTGTTCTTTGTTGCTGCAAGAGCATTTTGGAGAAATTGTGGAAAAAATTGGAGTCCACCTAATCAGAACTGGCAGCCAGCCACTGAGAGTAATTGCCCATGACACAAGAACACCACTGGATCAGGTATGTTTGGATGATAGTAATTTGCTTTTATTTTAATTAATTTCTTTTACCTACCTTTGAATATTGTTTCTCCCCACCCCCACAAAATGAAAAGGAAGAAAACCTGCTCTAGGATCAGAACAATGTTGTTTGTGGAGAAAGAAGGTAAGACGTTGGCCCCAAGGTTCTGCTTTTCGAAGTTTTCCTGGCTTATAATTGCTTCTTAGGAAAATCTTTGTTCTTCCTTTGCCATGCTTCCTTCATTCATAATGAGTCTATGAATCTCAGTACTATCTTTAAGGAATGAGAATAACAGAGGGGAAGTAAATTGTACTTTGAAAGATAAAGATCAGAGGAAATAAGAGCATCATAGCAAGGAATCTTTCTGATTTCTTCCATTGATGTGTGATTCTTATTAGCTATTCCAATGGAGGGAGGAAGGCAGCACAAAGATTCTTTTTTTTTTCCCCTCTATTGATTTTAGAGAGAGAGGAAGGGAGAGGGAGAGAGAGATAGAAACATCGATGAGAGAGAACATCAGTTGGCCACCTCTGGGATGCCCTCCACTGGGGATGTTGCCCACAACCTGGGCATGTGCTCTGACTGGGAATCAAACTGGCAACATCGTGGTGCATGGGTTGACGCTCAACCACTGAGCCACACCGGCCGGGCAGCACAGAGATTCTTATCCAGCCACCTCCTGAGGCTAGGTAAACTGTTGGGCAAAACTTGCCAGCAATAAAGAGCTGTGTCTTCAGATCTTTCCTTTCTTTCTTTTGGGTCACATCTAGGTTAAAAAAGCCCTTTGTGTCCTCATCCAACATAACCTGGTGATATATCAAGTGCATAAACGTGGTATGGTGGAGTATGAAGCCCAGTGCAGCCGGGTGTTGCGAATGCTCAGGTACCCCCGCTACATCTATACTGCCAAAACACTGTACAGTGACACTGGAGAGCTGATTGTTGAAGAGCTGCTGTTGAATGGCAAAATGACAATGTCAGCTCTCGTGAAGAAAGTGGCAGACCGGCTCACAGAAACTATGGAGGGTTAGTACTATATCAACAACTGTTAGCAAAAGCATATATTGGCTGGCTGCAGGAGAAGACCCTCGGCTATCTTAGGCCATCTCACCTGCCTCTTTTTTTCTGTTTTACAGATGGCAAAACCATGGACTATGGCGAGGTATCAAGCACATTCGTGCGATTGGCAGACACGCACTTTGTGCAACGTTGCCCATTAGTACCTGCCACTGAGAATTCAGACCCTGGGCCACCGCCACCTGCCCCCACTCTTGTCATCAGTGAAAAGGACATGTACCTGGTTCCTAAATTGAACTTGATAGGTAAAGAATTTTGATCCCTGGAACTGCGATTTGCCCTAATTGTGGATTCTTCCTCAGTGATTGTTAAATGAATTTAACAAATGAATGAATTGAACAATTACCAAGTATTTACTCTGTGCCAGATACTGTGGTGTAAAATATGAAAAACCATATGGTCCTTGCCTTTATGGGACTTAAGGCTAGTACAGGAAATTTACATTAATTAAATAACCACATGAGTGTATCACTAACAAACTGTGATAAGTAGTAGGAAGGAAAAGTGTGAGGTGTTTTGAAAATATATAATGGGACTGGAGTTATCTGGGAGTTTGGGGTACATGCTTCTTTCAAAAAGTGGCATTCTAGCTAAGACTAAAAGCAGAAGCAGGAGGCAACCAGTGAGGTAAGGTATGAAGGGGTACAGAGAATAAGCTTTTTGGCAAAGGAAACAGTACAGCGGTTCTCAACCTGTGGGTGGCGACCCCTTTGGGGGTCGAATGACCCTTTCACAGGGGTTGCCTAAGACCATCAGAAAACACATATTTCTGATGGTCTTAGGAACCGAGACACACTCCTCTATCCATCTCCAGGCGGGTCCGCCCACATGCAGATATGCTCACATACAACATGAGGAACTGTATTAAAGGGTCGCGGCATTAGGAAGGTTAAGAACCGCTGAAATGGTATGTAATGAGAGAAAAATAGGGTATTTGAAAAAGTGAATGAAGGTTAGTTAGTTAAAGCCTGGTATGCAAAGGAAAGAGAGCCATGAGAATAAGCTTAGGGAGATAGTCAGGGGCTAGACCTCAGAATATCTGTTCTTTAACCTAAGAGCAAAGGAAAATCACTAAAGGATTTTAAGCAGCCAAGTGATATAATCTAATTTGCACTTTAAAAGATTTTTCTGTGTACAGAAAGGATGGGGCATAGGTAAATGTAGACAAACCAGTGAGATGGAATAGCTACAAGAAAGGTAAATGATGAAGTTATCTGAAATTCAACATGTTGAAAAAGAAGTTCATAATTTGGGGAAAGTGGTGAGGTAGACAGGTATCAAGAACATCTTGCCCTGGCCGGTTTGGCTCAGCGGTTAGAGCGTCGGCCTGCAGTCCAGAGAGACCCGGGTTCGGTTCCCATAAGGGCACGTACCTCGGTTGCAGTTTGTCCCTGGCCCTGGTTGGTCGTGCGGGTGGCGGCCACTCAATGTGTACCTTTCACCTCGATGTTTCTCTCTCTCTCTCTCTCCCCTCTCCTTCTCTCCTCCTCTATCTGAACAAAAAATGTCCTCGGGTGAGGCTAAAAAAACGAGAACATCTGTGTGTCTGATGTGCATATGTGGGAGGATGATGGTGCCATTCACTGTGAAAGGAAACTCAGAGCAGGAACTGTTTGCAGAATTAAGATTATGAATTTCTTTTTCAACATGTTGAATTTCAGATAACTTCATCATTTACCTGACTTTCTTATAGCTATTCCATCTCCTGAGAAACACTAAACTAGAGGAAGCTATAGATGTCCTTGGGATAGGGAGACACCTGCTCTCATGTTTGGTCATGTCCTGTCATCATATGAGATGCAACCTAACTGTTCCAACTGTTTTATTTGGCAGGGAAAGGTAAAAGGAGGAGATCATCTGAGGACGATGCTATTGGGGAGCCCAAGGCCAAGAGACTAAAACATACAACAGATAATAAAGAGGTAATGGTGCTTTTTTATTAGGAGTCCTCCCCCTGAGGCAAACCAGAAAGAGCACTAAGATAAACCCCAAGAGACTAAAGGTTCCTGGGGTGAGAAGTAGTAGGATTATGAACTTCATTAAATATTGGCCAGCAATAGACTATCAAAGAGTGAACTCCATTGCTGTCTCCCTTCTGAGGCTTTCATTTACTCTGTCATTGGACAGTGTAGCAGCTTATGCTAAAAAAGGGCCTTTATTCAGGATAGCTGCAACATAGAGACCCATGGGAACCAGTGGTAAGAAACAAGTCTAGACAGATATAGGTAAGCCTGAACTTTTATCTTGAAGTACCTTCT